TGAGAAAAATATCAAGGAGAAGAGGGTGATTGATAGTGTTAAAAACTGCTCAGAGGTCAAGAAGGAAGAAGAAAAGGTCATTAGACTTAGCAATTAAGAGATTGTTAGTAACTTTGGAAAGAACAATTTTGGTTGAAGCCAGACTGTGAAGAGTTAAGAAGAGACGAAAGGAAGTAGAACCACCAATTATAGATACTCTTCTCAAGGAGTTTAGCTGCAGAAGGTAGGAAAGATATGGTATGATAGCTATGAGGTGCGGATGGATCAAGTGAAGATTTTTTTGAGCATGTCGGGAGATACATGGGCATGTTTGTTGGCAGTAGGGAAACATCTCAGATAGGAAGAAACTGAAGATAAGTGAGAAAGTGAAGATGATAGAAAGAGAAGCAATCTGCTGAAAAAGACAGAGTGGAATGAGATCCCTTAGATTAAAATTCTGTAGAGCTATGCTCTATATGCTCAAGAATGAAATGCTCAGACGCAAAGAAAAACAATTCTAATGAGATAGAGAAAGGGGTTTTCCAAAATAGATGACATGAATGCATGGTGAACAAAGCAACCCATTTAGTTTTTTTTTTTTAATATGTATGCAGAAGATACAGAAGTACAGGTCAGATAACAGGACAAATACAAAAAGTATGCCAGAGTCCTATTTTTTTTTTTTGGTAGACAGTCAGGATTACATGACTTGCCTAAGGTCACACAACTAGGCTGGCTTTGAATTTAGGTCCTCCAACTCCAGGGCCAGTTCACTTCACTCCTTAGCTGCTCTCTTTACCCTTATAATAATAGTGTCAGGAGTGCAGAATGAGTTAAGGTTTGGTGAGGAAAGTGAAAAGGAAAAGGTATTCTTTTTACATAGTTTTTCTGCTATACTGGGAAAAAAAAGAAGATAGTTAAACAGGACTGCTAATCAAAATGAGACAGAAAATACAACAGTTGGAGAAAAGGAAAAACTATTCAACTTTTTCTCGTTTTCTTTACCAAGAAGAATGATCTTTGGATCCAAAAAGACAAAGCAAAATTAACTTAAAGGTGATAACCAAGATAAGCAAGGAAATTGTAAAAGTACACATAATTGCTTTTGATGAGTTCAAGTCACCAGACAAAATGAATTGCACTTTAGGGTGAACTAGATCCCATCTCCACATCACCATGTAGATGAACTGTATCCCATTTTAGAACCAAGAAAGAATAGGTAGACATGACTGCTACACTAATCAATGATATTTGAAAGATCTTGGAGACTAGAAGAGATCCTGCATGATCTGAGAAGGCCAAATATTATAGGGATTTACAAAAAAAAATGAGAGAATGAAGTCTGCAAACTACAGGTAAGTGAGTTTGATTTTGATTCCTGGCAAAATTCCAGAAGCTGTTATCAAAGCTAGTGAACATCTAGAAAAGAAAAAAGCAATCATGAACAACCCACATGACTTAATCAAGGACAGGTCATCCATTTTTGTCAGCATTATTAGGCTTTAAATTGGAAGAATGCTACAGATACATCATTTACCTGGATTTTAGAAAAACATATGACAAAATTTCTCATACTGTCCTTGAAGACAAGCTAGAGAGATGTATAGGCTAGATGATAGTACAGTCAGGTGGATTTAGAACCAATTGAATGCCCGCTACCTAAAGAGTAATTATTAGTGTTTTTATGTTAGCTTGGAAGGTCTCTAGTGGAGTACCTCAAGGATCAGCTATGTGTACTTAGCATTTTTATCATTGCCGTGGGTAAGGAGATATATGGCATATTTGTGAAATCTGCAAATGACACAAAGCTAGGAGTAGTAGTTGACATACTGAATGAATTAAGCACTACAAAGATTTTGAACATGAGGACAAAAATGATGAGGTTTAATTTTATGAATTATAATGTAAATTCTTATATTTTTTATTTTAATTAATTTATTTTGACATATCAACAATCACTTCCATAAGCTTTTGAGTTTAAAATTTTTCTCTCCCTCCTTCCTCACCTCTCTCCCCAAGAGGGCCCACAATCTGATATAGGCTATACATATACATTCCTATTAAACATATTTTCACATTAATCATGTTGTAAGGAAGAATTAGAACCAATAGAAGGAACCACAAGGAACAGGAAACAAAACAGAAGAAAAAAAGAGTAAATAGTATGCTTCAATTTGCATTCAAACACCATAGTTCTTTGATTTTTTTTTTAAGGCAATTGGGGTTAAGTGACTTGCCCAGGGTCACACAGCTAGTAGTGTCAAGTGTTTGGTCTGAGTCCGAATTTGAACTCAGCTCCTCCTGACTTCAGGGCCGGTGCTCTATCCAATGTGCCACCTAACTGCCCCCATAGTTCTCTCTTTGAATGTGAATAGCATTTTCTATTGTGAGACTTTTGGAGACGTCTTAGATCCTTGTATTGCTGAGATGGACATCACTACTTGAATTTTTTTAAGATCGATTTCATAAATATAAGATAAGGCAGGTCTTTCTAGATAAGTATATTGTCTGAAAAAGATCTGTAGACTTTAGTGGACTGCAAAGCTAATATGATACAATAGTGTGATATGTTAGGTAAAAAATGGCAACAGAAGTTTAGGCACCATAAAGAAGTGGGTGGAGTATGGGAGTTTGTAATACCTATGGTATTTAACTCCCTTGATTGATGTGAGGCTCAAATTCAATGGTCTATATAAAGCATTTTGCAAACCCTAAAGTACTATATAAATGTCAACTACAAATATTATAGTAGTACTCTGTCATGTTCAGGCTGTGTCTGGAGCTTTGAAGTATGTATAGGGCTAGGAGGGGTATGTTCTCATAAGAATGTGATATGCATAGAAGCCAGGGAAGGAGACTGAGGAGGAGCAATCAGATTCATAACAGGAAAGCTGTGTAGCTTAATGAATATCAAGGGAGAAAGTAATTATCAAGGACCAGTAGTCAGAAGTGTTGCTGAAAGTGAATTTCTGGGAGAACACAACAAACTCCATTTTGTTCTTTATTAGCCATCTTGCTGTACATGACCCCTGCACAAACTACAAGACCACCATCACCAGCTGGATTTCTTCAATCTTTTCTTTCCTTTTCAAATCAGTACAGAAAGACTTAATTGGTAAAGAAGGAGGAGTCTCTGGAATGTCCCCCTCCTTTATCTAACCTGACAAGTAGTTCCCCTTTGATTTAGTGGAACTGGCTGTACAATCAGTGACACATATCTATCTCCTGAGGCTAATGATATATTTTCTTTAACAAGTATACTATTTTTTTCTTTGTATGGTCAGCTGCATTATAATGAACAGCCATATTTTTTCTTTGTTTCATATAATGTATAAAATTGCTTGCTAAATTGTGGATGATGCCATTCCCTATTAATTGCTGGTAGGGGAGGCCTCACACCTTAATAAAGCTTGTCTTCTGATTTTTTTTTCCGGCAGATTAATGATAACTAGTGGAATTGGTAAGAAATTTCATGCTGCAGTGTCAAATGCTGCAAAGAGGTTAAAATAGCTGAGTTCTCAAAATAAGCAATAAGGAGGTTATTGATGACCTTGGAAAGACCAATTTCATAGAATGATGGGAACTGAAGCCAGATTGAAAGGGTTTAAAGAATGATTATGAGGCAAGGAGGTGGAGGCCATGAGTATAGATTGTTTCTACTGCAGTGAAGACTAGAGAGATATGATGACAGATTCAGAAATAACAGGGAAATTACTTTCTTCCTTCTTTCCTTCCTTCCTTTTCCCTTTCCTTCCTATTGTAATCCAGGGAAAAGGGGGCAGTAGAGAGGGGGAGATTGAAGATACCTGAGAGAAATTGGGGGTGGTTGCGACCAAGAATAAAGAGGGAGTAGTTTAAACGGTTAGGCTTGGCAAGTGGGAGGGCCACTTCAACCCCTGGTACTGAATGGTGAATGAAAACATTGAAAGCTTTAGAGGGAGTGAAAAAGAGAGGGAAGGATTATTGAAGCGCTCAGCCTTATTTTTTGCACATAGTTGGTACAAACGCTTGTTGAACGAACGAATGGCTCCTATGGTCTTAGTAAAAGAAACAAGGTCATTTCCTTGAAGCAGTATTGGTGAAGCTGGGGAGTTAAGAGATCTGGAATAGCCATATTCGATTCAATAAGACTCAAAATAAGATTCAATAAAAGGGGTATCATGTAGTGGTACTAGGCTCAGTTGAGGTCAGGTAGGTATAAAGCTGTGGTGATCCTAGTCAGGCTTTGTTCTTTGATTTCTTACAGAAATTTTCACTGTTTAGGAATAGGAGCGGACAGACGCCAGACAGTTGTAACCTGGGGTGAAATAGAAGGAAAACAAGTGAGGGGACATTTTCTCCAGGATGCAACTGTGAAAGCACACAACTGTAAATTGCTGGAATGGTTCAACTGTTAGCTTGGAAGGATAAAGACAGCGTGGTTGGCCAGCACCGAAGGAAATAGTTTGGTTAGGGAGAGCTGGAAAGGCCCTTAACTGTACAATCCATCCAACCTGACACTTACTACAAAGTGTTATAACATCCTTGCACCAGTGAAACTCAGAGCTCAGTGCAGTACTTTTCCCCCCTCTCATAAAGGTGAACTTTTATGAACAATTAAAGAAAAAACACTCATTAAAGCCACAAAAAGTGTCACAGAAGCCAGCAGTCTCAAGAGTCTGCCCACCATTTTTCTTTAAAGAATTGCCAAAGACACTGAACCGTGGGAGGAACCGGTCTCACCCACCTAAATCCACGCTTCTCTGGTTTTACTGCCAACAAGCCCCGCCCCTAGAGTCAATCCCTCCTCCCCGCGGGCTGGGTAGATGGGCTCAGGCGGAGCGGAAAGTTCGCGTGACGAGACAGGAGAAGGCCTGCAATTGGCGGTGACGGAGGGTCTGGGCGTGGCCGACCCCATTGATTGGTTGGAGGGCGGGGCCTTAAGAGCGGGGACATCTACGGCGGCTGGTGGGGATACGGGGGCTGCTGGCCGTGGGGGGGTGGTGTGGGCAGTGGGCTGGGGACCGCGGACGGCTGAGGGCTATAGCGGCGGCGGCGGCTGCGGGATGGAGTTAAGCTCCCGGCTCCGTTAAAGACTGGCATCGACTGCGGCGGCAGTCGAGAGAAGGAGGGAGCGGACCATGAAGGGGGCTCTGGGTAGTCCAGTAGCAGCCGCCGCAGCCGCCGCCTCCGTGATGCAGGAGAGTTTCGGCTGCGCGGTGGCCAACCGCTTCCACCAGCTACTGGACGACGAGTCGGACCCGTTCGACGTCCTGCACGAGGCCGAGCGGCAGCGGCAGCGGCAGCAGCAGCAGCAGCGCAAGAAGCGCGACGAGGCGGCGGGGGCTGCGGGAGGCGGTGGCGGGGCCGGGGGCCGGAGACCCGCCTCGGCCGGGGCTGCGGGCCTTAGATTGAGTGGCGGCGGCGGCGGCGGGGGAGGCAGCGGCGGCAGCGGCCGGAGGGAGTCCCAGAAAGACCGCAAGATCTTCTCCTCCCCCTTCTCCCAGCCCGACAGCTTTGGGGGAGGCCCGCAGCCGGCCGGTACGCCCACACCCCCTCCCTCCTGGGCTAGCTGCGGGAGCTTTGTACAATTTAATTTTTTTTCCTTTTTTAGTTAACAAAAATCTGCCCACCCTCTTTCCTCTCCGCCCCCCTCCCTGGTGGAAAGAGAAAAACAAAATAAGCGTCGTAAAGAGATATGCATAGCCTAGCAAAACCTCCTGCATTGGCCGTGTCCAAAAACACAGCTCTCCGGGCGCCCGGAGCACGGCGCCATCCCGGGCCTCTGGAATCGTGGTCGATCCGAGTTCTTAACTCTTTCAAAGTTGCTTGTCTTTACAATGTCGCGGTTACTTCCTACGTTCTTTTGGTTCTGCTCACTTCTCAGTGCATCGGTTCAAACAAATCTTCCCAAGGTTTCTCTGAAACTCAGCCTGGTCCCCTTTATCGTTTCTTACGGCACAATAGTTTTCCATTACATCTCTGTACCATAATTTGTGCAGCCATTCCCCCTTTTGATGGTCACATCCTTTAGTTTCCCGTTCTTTTCTACCCCACCCCCATCCCCCACGAGGGTAGCAGGGAAATATTTCCGATGCGGCAGAAACTCTACAGAAAGGTGATGGATGATAGGAGGAAACTAAGAGAAAAATGGGAAAGAAGGGGCGTCATTTCGGTCCTTTCTCCCATTCCATTCTCCCTCTCGTCCCTCTGAAAAACTGGGGGTTGGGGGGAGAGTCAGAGGTGGATTTGGAAGGATAGGGTGAGGTGTGGAGGTAAGAGACACGGGATGTGTCTGGAATATCCCAAAGGATCTCCCCCCCCCCAATTCTACCAAGGACAGTTTGGAGGGGAAAATTATACCTTTCTTTTGGTTTAAATGAGGGGGAGAAAATAGATAATTTCTTCCTTGAGAGGTAGAGAGAAAAGTAGCCCCCGAGTATAGGATGCTGGATGGGGGAAAGGAAGGAAGAGACATTTAAGATACTGTGGGCTGAAGTGAAAGCCTGAATTATCTGGAGCAACCTGGTAATGATGGTACCTGTTAAGTATGGAGTAATGGAATGATGTAGAGCAGCTAAGTCTTGTGTTGAAAAAGGAGAAGATAGTAAGGATGGCATTAAAAGTATCCTAGGTCGATCTTAGGTAACGAATTAGCTGAGATTGAGAACCAGTGCCTGGCTGACTTGTTAAGGTTGTGCGTCTGAGCTGAGGCACAGCCTAGATAGTTTACTAGAGTGCTAAGTGAGCACTGGGGATTTAGTATTTAAATAATTTTATGCAAGTTTTCTACTGTCATCTGGTATTAGATAAATTTCTTTCAGTAACTGACAGCATTTTTGGTTTGGGATTTTAAATTTGGGATTATGTCAATCTATTGCTGATATATCAGAGAGATTGCACTTCACAAGAGTGTATTCAAAAATACTTCTAATGTTGTTGGTAGAGATGCCTCGTTTCTTTGTGTGAGTAGAAAATCCAGTCACCAGGTTGGTGTGCTAATAGTTCTACAAAGTAAATATAATTCATTATTTTGCCTTGCCACCTGATAATGTGTGCTGATTGATGACCTTTAACTCTACACGACAACCAACCACTTTTGCCTTCTGCACAATCTAATTCAGGCAGTGGCTGTGATGTTTGCATAAAGCTACTACTCTGCTTTCTGTTTAAAACAAGAGTCTCTCAATATGAAAGAAAGTGAAGTGGAGTAGATTTTTCAATTTATCCGTTTGCAGGCATGCTGTCTACTTTGCTGACCCTAAGTCGATTTGGGTAAGGAATCATAAAGAGCACTGAGTCATTTGGCCTAATTTAAGCTTTAAGAATTTGTCTGAAGGCACTAGATAATAATAATGAATTACTTTTACCTGTGAAATATAATCTAGAACTATCATTTTACTGTTAGTAACACTGCTTTACAAACCTGTCTAAATGTGTCACTAAGTATTTTTAGCCTGCCAATTAGGGATGACATTTGAAAGCTGTGTTGCTCATATGGTTCCTTCGAGGTCGTCATCAAGTGATTAAGTAAAATTTTACTAATGTAGATTTTTTTCCCTTGATTAAAAACATTTTGTTTAACTTTGGGTTAATCCTTTACTTTACTCTATATGTTGTTCCAAAAAATGAAGATTTTTGTTCTTTGCCCCCTGGTGTAAGTATGAAACTTTAGTGGTATCTAACTAATATGATTAAAATTATTTTAAGTTCCTAAATCAACTTTAAAAAAATCACTTTAACAGCTTTGGTAGTCTCTTTTCCTCTGTCTAGGAAATTTTTGCTACTCTATTATTACTTTAAAATTCTTATGAGATTCATTTTAAAGAGTTTTGGTTGGCTTTAGTAGTCTAAAGGCTTTGTGTTCCTTTAGGAATATCTTGGGTTCCAAGAAGAAAGCAAAGCAATAATTTCTTTTTTGTGAAATAACTGTGTTAAGCTTCTGTGTAATAGGTATGAAAATGCAAGCCCCAAGTTTATAGCCCTGGAATATTATTAAAAGTATCAGGCGTTGGGCTTTGTTATCTCTGAGTTTTCACTCAAGTAGAACATTATTTGTATGTGAAAACTTAAATGTGTACAAGAAATCACAGTTCAAAGGATTTGAATGATTTAGTAGATTATTAATCGGAGAATGTCATACAAATCATAAACAGATTTTTTCCATTTAAAATGCCTAATGTTTCCTTCTTTTTTTTACATAGCTGATCATGTATTGAGGTAGTAAATGTAGACTCGCAAGTGGACCTTGTTTCTGGAGATTATCAAAGTTCTTACTTCAATCCTAAATTCCCTTAGTTGCTGTAACTACAGTCCTTAAACTAAAAACTTGGTTTTTGCCAGATAATTATTGTAGATGCTGTTTATTTAGTCCCTTTTATATGAGCTTGCTTGTCTTATTCTTTGATCAGTGGTCAAATTGCATGTGCCAGCCCTTTATTGAAAAAGGCTGTGAAATGCAAGGTTTGCATTATGCATTCACAGTTGCTGATTCAGCATAGAGAAGGGAACTGAGTTCTGCCTCAGTCAACTCCTAATACAGTATTTCCAAAACTGGAACCATTGATAATATACATCTTTTAGAATTTTGGAGGCAGGAAGAAACCATAACAATACATAGTACTTTATCTAGTTCATAAAAGGCAAGCACTTAGAGAATGGACAAGATTTTTGGCAAAGAGGTCTTGGTAAGGACAGATATAAAGGCACATGATTCTTCATTTAAATTAATTTATTCTAACTTGATAACTTTTAAAATATATTGGAGTGGGACACTTACTAGCTGTGTGACCCTGGCCAAGTCACATAACCCTACTTCATTCATATCTCTCTCTCTCTCTCTCTCTCTCTCTCTCTCTCTCTCACACACACACACACACACACACACACACACACACACACACACACACACACATATACATCAAAGTGGGAGAAGAGTATTATCTAAATTCTTGTGAGGAATTTTCTAGCCAAGTGATATTTTTAAAAATCATAGTTAATTGACCCCCTACCTACATTTAATTTTTAAAATGCATTAAAATGGCTTTGAGTTTCTTTATGTTAAGAAAAATTCATATTATTTAAGTGTAGACTGCATTTACGTGTCTTATGTTTCTTAGTATATGTGATGATGACTGTTCAAAAATCAGTCTTCACTTTAAAATTCATCTTAGAACAATCTTTCATTTTCCTGCTTGTTAATTCATTTTGATAATCATGCTTACCTTCAAGGCTTATAATTTCAGTCTGTGTGGTCTCCCTTTATGTCTTAGCGATATGCACCAGATGAGCTAGCATTACATGCAATTTTGGTCTTCTCAATATTCTTACTAGGCTTTTCATCATTGTTCTGGCTTTTCATCAAAACTGTAATACTGTATTTGTGATAGCAACATTTCTTATGGAACCAAATAAGTTATGAGCTCAGATTATAATTTTGTTGCAAGATAGAAATCTGTTTAAAGCATTTTCAGGAATAAGGCATATTACAACCATTGCAAATTGAATTTAAATCTATGGTATACCTAATTTCAATATACTAATTACTATTATAATAGCAATATTATTCCATATTTTAACATCAAGAAATTTTATTTTTTAGACAGGGACTTAACTTACCTCCATTTTCAGTGATACTAAGTATATATTTGTTTTTTAATTAAAATTGAATCTTATAATTTATTAGAACTATTATTTTTATATCTGGTCTTTAGAGTTTTACATGGAATAGATTAATTTATAATCAGATCCTCATTGAAGTGCTTTCTATGGTGTGCAATATAAATATCATAGAGAAGCATTCTAATAGTTCAAACTAGTTAACTATATAATATTGAATTTTTATATTCACAAATCCTAATAGAAGAAAAAATTATATGTAATTAGAGCTGAATTGAAAGATTAATAGAAGAGACATTAATCAATGAACATTCAATAACCTTGACATGCAAAATAAAGCTTTTTATTTCTTTAGAGTATGACTTTTAAGATTAGATGTGTTTTTGCCAGTTTTTCTGTTCATAGCTTTCAGTTGAAAGCCAATTTTGAATAAAAGAATGGAATAATATGACTTTTCAAAGTCCTTTTAGTCTTTTGAATATGTGAAGTGGCAAACTCAATTTGATATATAAGGAACAGAATTCACATATGTAAATTTCATTGAAGACAAAACTTAATTAAAAATAGACATTAATTACAAATAGAATAAAAATATTTGCTGGTTTACAATTTTAGTTGTTCTTAATAGTTGTAATTAACATGTAGTTGGATTCTACCTACAAAGAGTGTCCTTTATGAAGTACAGGAAATTAGCCGTAGTTTGCACAGTATTTTGATTTGCGTGCTCCAAATGAACTCTGGCCATCATGCTTTAGTGGTTTAAACTAATGAAATATGGTGACTTTATTGTTATTGCATCAACTATACTTATTAAAGCATGGATAAACCAAGGAATTATTATAGTTGATTAAAGAACTTTATACAAAAGTATTTGTTTGTCTTGTGGCAAATTGGAGAACATAACTGAAAAAAGTTTTAGAGAGTTTAGTTTGAACCTGTGGTTTCATTGGTGTGGGGAATTCTTTTTGTGGCAACTTTCTATGGATACAAATCTGCAACCCATTTCTAGCCTGAAGTCTTAGAAGTTTGCCTGGGACACTGAGTGATTAGGTGATTCACTTGTGGTCACACTGAATATCAGTGGCAGGACTTGAACCCAAGTCTGCCTGACCACAAGTTTTCTTGAATGGTATTCACTATGCTGTGTTGCCTATCAAGGGGAAAGATGTTATTTAACATTCCTTCTCAAAGTAAAATTCATTACTGCTTTGATGTAGTTATTGTGTTATGACGTTATCTTTTTCAAATTTCAGGTCAAAAGCGAGCTGCTAAAAGAGGGGAGCAGCAGGCATGGAATGATAACCGAGGAGCAGATGTAAAACTGGATAAGACAGAACGAAGAACTTATAGGGAATATCGACCCTATGAAATGGAGAGACAAGTGGAATTTACAGTGGAGAAGTTTACAATTGGAAAGTATGTACTATATGACTTTAGATGACACAGTTAGGGGTGGGAATTTGGGAAAGGGACTTAACAGTACAAGTAGCAGCTCAGTATTATCTAAACTGCACTGGCCTTCAGCGTCATTTCTTGCTGCTAACAGTAAAGTCAGTAGGCATTATGTGCCCATTTATATGCCAGGCACTGTGCTAAATTCTGGGGCTACAGAAAGGCAAAAAAAAATAGTGCTTGCTTTCAAGAACATTACAGTCTAATGGACAAACAGCTATGTATAAACAACATATGTAGAATAAATTGGAGATAGTCTCAACAGAAAGGCACTAGCGTTGAGGGGGACCAGGAAAGGATTGTTTTGTTTTGTTTTTTTCCATAAGGTAGGATTTTATCTTTGACTTAAAGGAAGCCAGGGAATCCAGGATGCAAAGATGAGGGAGAGAATTTCAGACATGAGGGAGCAGAGCCAGGGAAAGTGGAAGGAGTAGAGAAATGGAATATCTCATGCAAAGAACAGCAGGGAGGCCAGTGTTGTCAGGTCATAAAGTACATGGCAAGAGGAATAAGGTGTAACAAGACTGGAAAGGTAGGAAGGGCCAAATTATGAAGGGCTTTGAATTCCAAAGAAAGGATTTTATATTTGTTCTTAGAGGTGATAGGGAATCATTGGAGTTTACTGAATGAGGGGTGGGGGTAACATGGTGACAGACTCATACTTTTAAGATGATCACTTTGATAGTAGAGTAAAGGATGGACTGGAATAGGGAGACGTTTTGAGACAAGGGCATCTAATATCAGGCAATTGAAATAGTCGGTGGGAGGTGATGAGCGTCTGGACACCTGAGTAGTCTTAGAGTCAGGGAAGAGAAGCAAGCATATATGAAAGATATATGAAGGTAGAATTGAAAAGACTTAGCTACAGATTGGATGGGGGTGGTGGTGAAGGCAGATGAGTTGGGGATTACAGACACTAGGTTGTGAGCCTGAGAGACTGGGAAGGTAGTGGTGCCCTCAGTAATAGGGAACTTTGGAAGGTGGGAGTGGTTATTGGGAAAGATGAGTTCAGTTTTTGATATGTTAAATTTAAATTTTGGACATGTTAGAAGATGTCTGCAAGACATCCAGTTTGAGATGTCTAGTAGGAAGTTGGAGATATTTTGTTAACTTAAGTAACAATTTTATTCATTTAGAAAGATGTTCTGTTCGTACTCTTAGTTCCTTCATTTGTGAAAACTAGGTAAATAACTTGCTCTGAGTACCCCTAATTTTATAGATTTAGAATCATAGATTAAGAATTGGTTAAGGGACCTTATAAATCATTAAGTCTACCCTCCCATTTTACATGAGGAAACAGAGGCACAGAAAAGCTAAATGAATTGCCCAGGGTCACACAGCTAAGTCTTGGAAGTGAGATTTGAACCTTACGGTCTTCCTGACTCCAAATACATTACCAAGTAATACTAGTTTTGTGTGTGTGTGTGTGTGTGTGTGTGTGTGTGTGTGTGTGTGTGTGTGTGTGAACACAGACATGTATCATTTCACAAATACATAACACACTTCCTTTACAAACAACCCTGTGAGGAAGGTATTATTTCCTCGTTGTTAAAGTATGAGAGTTGAAGTTTAGAGAGTCTAAGTGACTTGTCCAAGTCATACATAGGAAATGGTAAAGACAGAGTTTAAACATGGGTTTGTGACTTTAATTCCAGTGTTCTTTCCATACATCATGCTCTCTCTTTAATCAGTGCCTCCTTGCCTTTTACTTTACTGAAAAAAAAAATTAGAGGCTATCTGCTGTTAGTTCCTTTGTCTTTCCTACTCAACACCTCAGAACTTTTTACATCCTCACCCATACATGACTTCCTTACTTATATCTCTTTGGAAAGAAGTGACCTTTCTCTCTGCCAGATACAAGCCTTCTACCAGTCCCTTGATCCTATACACTCCTGTTTTCCAGGAGCTCACCCCATCAGTGATTGTCTTTTTACCTAGCCACCTAGCTGGCTCTTTACTGGTTCTTTTCAGTAGCTGCTTATAAATCTACCCAATTCTGAAAAATTTTTCATTAGACTCTGCCAGCTTTTCTCCCTTTCACTGTTATACGAATTTTGCATCATATATACCCACTGTCTCCTCTTTGCTGCTCATTCAGTTCAATTGAATAAACATTTATTATGTTCAAGGCAGTGAGAATGCTTTGGTTTTGTGATCTCATTAAAATGGATATTATTTTCAGTGATATGCATTGCAAAGTATTGATGTGTAGCCATCATGTACTATTCTCATACCTGTTATCTGATTGGTCATCATAGAGTAAACCTAAGGTGGTGGAGAGACATTTAGTATATGCTGTATAAATTTGCTTTACCTCCTATGCAGAAACTCTTTCATTTGCAGATTGTCAAAAAAGACCTACCAATATGTTGAGAAAAGCTTGAGAACTTATTAAACATTCTCTGTCAAGAATTTTAAAGAAACCAGGGGAAAAGGAGGTAAAGGAAGGAGATTCAGCAGTATCAGATTTTAAATTATAAGATCTAGAGCATTGTTGAAGTGTAAAATGGATAAGTTCAACTATTTTAAATTAAAAATATCTTGCATAAATAAAACCAGTGTAGCCAAGGAATGCAGAAAATTAGGGGAAAAACTTTCATAGACAATCTCTCAGATAGGATGTGATTGTATTGGAATACTGCTGTGGTATAGGAAATGATGAGCTGGTTAATTTAGAAAAACATGGGAAGACTTGGACATATGAAAAAAGATGCTATCCACCTCCAGAGAAAGAGATGACAAGTGGAAATATGCATAGTACAATTTTACATATGTGTGTACAAATATGTATGCGTACGTATGTGTATGTTTATAGATATCTATGTATGTGTGTGTATTTCCCCAAGTTTAACTGTAACCTTCTTTAGGGTAAGGGAAGGGGAGGGAAGGAAAAAAATAAAGAAAAAAATGTACAGCAGAGAATAAAAGAAATCCTAGAAGGAAGCAAGGAAAAGTTGGGTAGCTTTGAAAATAATGTGTAGTATTTATTATGCAGGTCTTATATTGAATCTTTTCTTATGTTCTGCTGTGTACATGTTAATATTCTTTTTATTTTTTTCTCATTTTGTATTAAAGTTTAAAATGAATAAAAAAATTTATGAAAAAAAAACCACCCTCCATGAACTTAGGATACTGAATTCAGAAACTTCTAAGTTGATAAAATAGCCTGTTTTTATTCCAATAGATCATGATGTTGGTGATGATAATAGCTATGCTATATTAGTCAACTCACTAAACATTTATTAAGTGCCTACTATGTACCTGGCATTTGTATCTGAATATAGAGACAGGGCAGCTAGGTGGCACAGTGGATAGAGTGCTAGGCATGGAGTCAGGAGGACTTGTCTTCCTTCAAATATAGCCTCAGACACTCACTAGCTGTGTGACCCTGAGCAAGTCACTTAATTTGCCTCAGTTCTTCTTCTGTAAAAGGAGCTAGAGAGCGAAATGGCAAACAGCTGCAGTATCTCTGCCAAGAAAACTCCAAATGGGGTCACAAAGAGTGAGACATGAATAAAACAACTGCACAGCAACGACAAAACAGACAGAAGTGAAACAGTTCCCTTCCCTCAGAGATTACATACTATTGGATAAACAACATGTATGTACAAGATAGATACAATGTAATTTTAATTTTTTTCCAATTACATATAAAAATGATTGTTAACATTCATTTTTTAAACTTTTGAGTTTCAAATTCTCTTGTTCCCCCTTCCCTAAGATGACAAACAATTTTATATAGGTTATACATATGCAGTCATGTAAAACATATTTCCATATTAATCGTGTGATACCATTGTAATTTGAAGGAGGCACTAGCTACTGAGGGGAATGAGAAAGATTGATATATTGTCACTTGTGTTGAGTCTCATTCTGTGAAAACCCCATCACAGTGAATACCACATTTTCGCCATTTTAGAGGGCTTTGCTGAGAGGAATTGCTCCTTACCTTTCAGCAAGGGCTGGGTGGTTAGTTATATAGAGAGCATTTCACCTTCCCCATCTTATTATGAAGCAAAGCAGCTCCCAATAATTCTCTCCTAGTCACTGAGTAAAGGACAATTATGGAAGTAATCACTGGTAACAATATGGAGAGACCTTATCCTTTCCAAAATAAAGTTAAGCATAGTTCTTTGGTGAACCAGCTTGCGGTGCCCCTTCTACTGTGATTGTACACTGCTTTCTTGGCTGGAGCCAATATGATGCTCCCTTTTCTGGGCTTGAGTACTGCTATAGATAACATTGCCACTGCTTCTTTATGCCAAGCCCAGGCATTACCTCTGCTGGGACCTGAGGCTACTGCTGCCCCTTTGTGAAGGTCTGAGTGCTACTACTGCTTCTTATGGCCAGGCTGAGTGTTGTTGCCAGGGGGATAATAAGTATTACATTTGTTGCTATTGTCCACTATGTCAGGGATGAGGCTGCTGCTATTCCCCTTAGAATGGGGTCGCAGTTTTTTGCCAGATGTGCTGGCATTGCACCATCCCCACCTTCCAATGCTGCCTTCAAGTTTAGGAATTTACATATTAGGATAAGCTGTTTGCCCACCTCTGCTCAGGGGAAGACAAAACAAAATAGTTCAGTCTTGGATTTGTTTACGCCAGTACATATGTGCTAACTATATGTAGTCAGGAAAATGAATTCTTACATTGGTCAAATATAGATATTTCTTGTTCATTTGTTTCAGTCATGTCTAACTCTTCATGACCCCATTTGGGGTTTTCTTGGCAAAGATACTAGAGTGGTTTGCCATTTTCTTCCTGACTTCAGGCCTGGCACTCTATCCATTGCACCACTACCTGCCTGAATCCAAATATAAATATACCTCATTCTGTGCTGAGTCCATCACCTCTCTATCTAGCCTGCTTAATCATCAGTCCTCTGGAATTGCTGTTGATTAGAGTTCTTATGGCTTTCACAGTTGGTTTCTCTTTACAGTGTTATTGTATAAATTATTCTCTTAGTTCTGCTCAGATTACTTTGCATTAGTTGTACAGTCTTCCTAGGATTCTCTTCTTTATTTCTTTTATCATTTCTTACAGCGCAGTGATAATCCATTATGTTTATAGTTCATAATTTTTTCTCATACTGTTCTCTACCCATTCAGTTCTGGCCCTAACTCATTGTTCTTTTGAAGTTCTGTCCAGGATGTATGTTTGTAACACCTGGGTGTAAATTAGTTTATTTTTGGTGAACTTAAATAGTTTATTTCTAAATCTAAGAGTAATATAATGGCCCATAGGGTCAATGTAGATCCCTTTCTTCATTTGTAGGGAGTTTGTTTTTGATGAAAAATTATGAGTTCAATTACAAATGTTCTGATCCCATTAGGAAAATTCCTAACATGTAGGCAGAGGCTGAGCTCTGTCTAAATTTTACATTTGTATCTGTCTCTAATCCTGGATTTTTTGTGGTTGAGACAAAATTCAGTTTTTTCGAAACATTTAGGGAGTGAAGACATCATTAGAGATGGTTTTCTCAGGGAGTTCAGCCATGAAAGGGAGAAAAAATAAAGGTGATAGCTAGTGGAGATGGATGGATCAAGTGAGAGTTTTTAAAGGGTAAGCAAGATATGAGTATGTTTCTAGGCAGTAGTGAAGCAGCAAATAAACAGGCAGAGACTGAAAATTAATGAATTAAGTGGGGATCAGTAGAGGAGGCAATCTGCTGGAGAAGACGTAGTGGAATGTACGTGAATGTGAAGGAGTTACTTCTGTAAGGGGAAGGGCTATCTTGTCATGTGAGAACGGGGCAAAGGAAGAGATCATAGTATAGACATATAAGTGATATGAGATGAGGAAGAAGGGAAAGAGGGAATTCTCAGCAAATGGCCTTGGATTTTTTTTTTGAAGGCATGGTTCTTAGCTGAAAGGGTAAAGGGAAGGGTGTCATGGAAGGTTTGAGGAGGGATGAAAATATTTAATAAGCCACTATGGGAAATAGGTTAGTTATTCAGTTAGGGAGACATAAAATATTGTCGTGCTGCAGGCCCAGTTGATATTAATAGGACATAAATTTTCAGTGTATCCCAGTCAGCACAGTATCATGATTTTTTCTAGTTCCATTTAGCAGTGAATGAATAGGAGTGAAGGCAATGGATGTTGGGAATAATCCAATATTCAGCCTTAATTTGCTAATTTTTTCCTTGAGAAACCAATTTGACTTCAAATCTCATTCAGCTAAAACTCCCCTCTCTAAAGAGACCAATGATTTCTTAATTTCCAGATCTAATGGTCTTTTCTCAATCCTCATCATCCTTGACTTTCTGCAGCCTTTGACAATGTCATTCACACATTCTTGTTATTTTTTGCTCTCTGGGTTGTTGTGGCGTTGGTCTCTCCCAGTTCTCTTCCTACTTGTCTGACCGTGCCTTTTCTTAGTCTCCTTTGCATGACTGGCAATAGGATAAGTGTGGAGTTCAACTGGTTCTCCAAGGAGTTAAGATAAGATATGAAGAAGAGCATTATTAGGATGATGGCTGGGGAAAGAACTGAAAGCTGGGAGGAATGGAGGCAAGGAGGAAGGAATGAGAACAATAGGGCTTAAGGTCATGTGACAGAGAGAGAGGCAAAATAATAAAAATATTATGATTACATTAATGGGGGGCAGGTAGGTGGTGCAATGGACAGAGCACCGGCCCTGGATTCAGGAGGATCTGAGTTCAGATCCAGCCTCAGACACGTAACACTTACTAGCTGTATGACCCTGGGCAAGTCACTTAACCCTTTTGCCTTGCCCAAAACAAACAAACAAAAAAGAATAGATTAATGAATTTTCAGAGTTAATGAATATGGATATGGAGCATTTGTGGGTGATCATAATGTTAAGCGTATGATAACTCCATGTGGTGGTAGTTATGAGGGATGGTTAAACTGGAGGAATTGAGAAATCAGGGTACTTGAGGGCTTATCAATGTGTATTTTGAAATTTAAGAATATGAGGACAGGAGCTAAAGTGGAGAGAAAGATCATGATTCAGGCAGTAAATTCATCAAGTAAGGAATGAGAGGGTCCATAGATAAGAGCTATCTAAATCTCACTTGGGGAGTAAATATGGATTGAGTGATTCTCAGAGGCTGAGAGGTTCACAAGTGATGGTGATAGAGGGAGATGTTGAAAGTAATAACAAGGAGCAATTGGTGCTGTCAGAGGGTAGTCACTGATACAGTGTCTCAGGGAAGAGCCAGGTTTCAGTGCGTGCAAGAAGATGAAAGCAATGAGAAATGAAAAGTTTTAAAATGAAAGCAATATTATTAACTATGGAGCAGGCATTCCAGAGACCAAAGTAGAAAAGTAAATAGATCTGGAGTTAAACATTAGCGTTAGGGTTGAGAAGAGAAGTGGAAGTGAGGCAGTTTGCAGTGGGGAATGTTGAGATTGGAGTTTGTATAATGACAACTTAGGGTTCAGAATCACTGGAATGGGGTGAGTAGGATGGAGATGAGAGTATTTCAGCTATTACCCAATTGATGGTACTCCTTGTTTGCTGCTATAAAAAGAGCTGCTATAAGTATTTTTGTACATATGGATCCTTTTCCTCTGATTTGTTTGGGGTATGGGACTAGTTGTGGTACTGCTAGGTCAAAGGGTATATGTACACAATTTAATAATTTCTGGGGCATAGTTTCAAATTGCTTTCTAGATTGGTGGTACTAATTCATAGCTTCACCGAGAGTACGTTAGTGCCTATTTTTCTGTGACCCCACCAAAATTGGTTATTTTCTGTTTTTGTCATCTTTGCCAATCAGATGGATGTGAGGTAGCTTTAATTTGCATTTCTTTAATGATTAGTGATTTGGATCATTTTTCTTTTTATATGGCTGTCAATAGCTTGGACTCTTCCTTTAAAAACTACCTTTTCTAGGTGGCACAGTGGATAGAGCACCAGCCCTGAAGTCAGGAGGACCTGAGTTCAAATTTGGCCTCAAACCAAACACTTGACACTTACTAGTTGTGTGACCCTAGGCAAGTCATTTAACCCCAATTGCCTTAAAAATTTTTTTTAAAACCTACCCTTTTATGTCCCTTGACTATTTGTCAGTTACAGAAAGGCCCAGTCAATATTTTTTTTAAATCTTATTTTAAATTTCTGCTTAAAGATAGTATTATTTTAAAGATACTCTCTAGTACAGGGATTCTTAACTTTTTTTGTGTATTGAATCTATAGCACATTCTGGTGAAGGCTATGGAACCTCTTCTCAGAATAATAATGCTTTTAAATACATAAAATAAAATAGAATTTATAAAGGAAACCAAAGGTTAGTGAAAACAAAAGGTATTTTTTCCCATCTAAATTCAAAGACCTCCTGAAATCTATACCCTGGACTTCAGGTAATGAACCCTTGTGTTAATTGTTTCTACTTCATATTTAGTTTAAAAGTTGCTTTAGTACCTATTGAGCTATGTCTTGTACCATGCTAATAAGAATTTTTAAAATCTTTTCAAATAAAAAAAGTAATGATAATTAACCAACCTGGTTATTTTAGTATTTCTTTTTCTCCTTTTAGGCCAGTTGAAAGATTTGAGCGGGAAAGACCAATTAGAGGCCGTGGAGGCATAAGAGGTGGAATGCGAAGCAGAGGAAGAAGTGGTGGAATGAACAGAACTTTTGATGGGTTTGACCAAAGAGGGAAGAGAGAATTTGAAAGACACAGTGGTGGAAATGATAAAATGTAAGTTCTTTTGGATATACTGTTTTTTGCTGTAGCATTAGATAATATGACATGTTCTTGTAGTTTAAATTAATTTTGCCTTTTATGTAGCTTCCCACCTTTTTGTTTAAACTGTTTCTGAATTGGAAGACTAAGGGACATAGATCTTCAATTTAAAAGAATATTGTTTCGGGGCAGCTAGGTGGCTCAGTGGATAGAGTTCTGGCTTTGGAGTCAGGAGGACCTGAGTTCAAATCTGTTCTCAGATACTTGACACTAGCTGTGTGACCCCGGGCAAGTCACTGAAACCCAAATTGCCTCACCAAAAGGCAAAAAAAAAATATTGTTTCTACCTCTAGAGCAATCAGAGCAGAATACAGAAAGGGTGGAAGGGGAGCTCATAAATAGGGATCGGTTAAAAACAATATAAGGTGCAATCCATATCTGTGCCCACTGTACATTCTGAAATCAAATGGAAAATTTATTATCTAGTCATCATTTGGGAAAACAGAATGGCATAATAAAGTGCTGAGTGCTAAATTCAGAATCAGAAAGATGGGTTCAAATCCTCCTTCACACATGTCTTAGCTGTGAGACTCTGATTAAGTCCCTTCTCTCAGAACCTCAATTTCCTCATCAACAAAGGCAAATAATATCACCTGCCTCTCAAGGTTGTATAAGAAGCAAATAAAATGATGCATATGAAACACTTTGCAAATTTTGAAGAGCTGTGTATAAATTTGAACTGTTCTCATTGCCCAGGAGTCTGCTTTCCTTTCCTAAAAATAGTTTTCCTCAATGATCTGCTTGAAATATCTTCGTATTTGCGGGTTATTAAGGAGGGCCTAGTTTAAAGGCAAATATGTACTTTTAAGGTATCTTGTTCATAAAATTCATGGACTGAGTGGACTTAAATGAAACTAACATTTGGGTGCCTGGCTCTTGTGCAGTGCACTGACATTTTAATTTCCTTTTTAAATTTCACCAAATAGTGTACTGTTTTATTATTTTACATTAACAGTTTTATAATCTGTCAACCAAATGTTTGAGCACCTACTATGTTTCTATATGCAGATTCCTCAGAGTGTTTTTATAACAAATTATCTAGGGCTTTAAGATTTTCAAAACCCTTTCTCACCAAATCCCTAAATAGGCACTATGTATATTATTGTCCTTATTTTACATGAGAAAATAGATTTTGTGAGGTTAAGAGAGTATTATCCCTGGTCACACAGCTGTTGAGTGACAGTGGTATGATTTGAATTCAGGTTTCCTGACTCTGAATCCAGTATGTTTCCACTATATCACAGTGCCTCATAGAAACAATTAAGTAAAACACACTTAATTTTTCTCAATATTTTTGTAAGTCCATGACATTTTACTTTTTTTCTCTCTTTTTTTATTCTCTTAAATTTACCCTCTTAACATTGTTTCCAGAATTCAGATGCATTTTTTTAACTAGGGGCAGAAAACTAAAAGAAAAGTCTATCTTGATGCTGAAATTTTGAAATTTCTCTTGGTGCTTTTATTCCATCAGATTTTTCTTGGTTTTTTTCTTCTTTTTGATGAGGTAGTTGGGGTTAAATGACTTGCCCAGGGACACACTGCTAGTAAGTGTCAAGTGTCTGAGGTCGAATTTGAACTCAGGTCCTCCTGACTCCAAGGTCAGAGCTCTATCCATTGTGCCACCAACTGCCCCATATTCCATCAGATTTTTAATTCTTTTTATCCCTTTTCTCTCCCCCTGCTTTTTCTATCTTTCTTTCATATGAACTGTAACAATATTGAGATATTCCTCAAATGGCTTTTGTAAAAATGGGTATCTTGATGTCCAAAGATCCATTTATAATGTAATAGTTCTGCTTATTGGAAAGAATGGAACCAGGTTTCAGGAAAGGATAGATTGCTTCTATAAGCTAGAAGGTATGTCTGTAGATGAAAAAACATGTGGGATATTGTATGTCTTTGAGCTTCTGGGATTAGTCATTTCTGTGATACTAAAATGGTTGCTTTTGTTGTTGTTTTTGGGTCTGGACCTGTGATTTCATCCAAGGACAACATGTCCTTGCTGTGAAAACACATGACTGGGCATCTTCATCTGTAACAGTTGTTATAGATGTTAAGTAACTTGCCCATGGTCATGCAATCAGTATGTTTGGGAGGTCATGTTTCAACATAGAGCTTTCTGACTCCAAAGTGCTCGTTCATCCTCCATATACTCACTTCATTGCTTTTCTTTCTTTTCTTTTTCCCTTAGGATTGTCATAATATTTACAAACACATCTTAAAATTAAATTTGGTAGCAGGATATATGTAAAATTCTTTTTAAGAAGTGAAAGGATTCAGTGAGTTTTTGTTGACGTGGAAGGGAGTCTTAATTTTTGTTTCCCTTTGTTTTCATTGTTATTTTTGCCCTTTCTAGTTTTAGTACTATTAATGGGACCATTAACTGGCAGCAAACTTGAACTTTTTCGCCTTTTTGGGGGATTATTGTATAAATATGGAATAAGAGAACAAACAAAAAAAAATTTGAGGTTTGATTAGCAATGCAATTCTGCTAGAATGCTCTGTATGGTGGAGCAGCTAGGTGGCACAGTGGAGAGAGTACCAGCCTTAGAGTCAGGAGGACCTGAGTTCAAATCCAGTCTCAGACCAGACACTTGACACTTACTAGCTGTGTGACCCTGGACAAGTCACTTAACCCCAATTGCCTCACCAAAAAATAAAAAAGTAGAATGCTCTGCATGCATGTGTACACATTCACCATACAAATATTTTAAAAAGTTCCTGGGTAGTAGGTGGTGCAGTGGATAGAGTGCCAGCCCTGCAGTCAGGAGGACCTGAATTCTAATTTAGCCTCTGACACACTTACTAGCTGTGTGACCCTGGGCAAGTCACTTAATCTCAATTGCCCTCCAAAATAATAAATAAATAAAATGAAAATTTTTCTGTTGATTAGTGAGAAAACTGTCAAGGAACAATGAAATTGATTATCTTAAGTGGTAAAATAATAAAAAAAAATTCCTTTTTAATTCTTTTTGGTTTTCAGAGTCATTTAAAATACAGAGGTATTTCAAACTAATATTTGAATATATGTACCTCTAACATTATTGGAATTTATAGTATTTGACTAGGATTCAGTGCTGTTAAAAAAAAAAAGGTAGGCCTCTTTAGCTTGTTCATTTTGCCATCCTGTTCAGTTCTTCTACTTTATCTTAGAATGGCAACCCTTTTCCATAAGTAATCTGTATTCATATACTCAAAAATTGCTGCATGTGTAAAACATTTCTGTATCTGTTTAAATTTACAGTATATTATATCTGTTTGTTATGGCTTATGTGTGGAAGCTGGCCTATTTGTAAATAGACCTGCCCACTTATAAATTGGAAGGTCTGACTTATTATCTATTTGTAGGTTGGAAGGATAACCTCTCCAAGTTTTAATTAAAGACTTTAAAAAAGGATAATTTCCAGATTTTCTCAAGTTAAGAAACAGTGAATAAGGAAAAAAACCATTTAGTTAACAGACCATGAGTTTAAAAAAACATTGCACTATAAGTTTATTTCATCAAGCTAAAAGGAAAATCTCTGCTTGCCAAGAAGAGAATTGGTATTTGCTGTTATATCCAATGGAGAATCCAAATCAGAGGGGGATTTCCCATAATATAACTATAGACACTGTCTTCAGAATCAGAGGTTCTGGACTCCAGTGCCACCTCTGTTATCTACTGCTTGTGCTACTTTAATAAGTCATAACTTTCTTGGGCCTCCATTTCCTGATCTCTGAAATGAGGGGTTTGGACTAGGTGCCTCCAAAGTCCCTCCTAACTCTAGATCTATGAGTATATGATCTCTGTGAAGAGTGAGGTCCAGATGCTCATTTACACTTGGCATTGACCTTATATATCAAATCTTGAAACATATTAGAAGTTCCTAAATGCCCTCACTATGCACACAGAAAACTGAGTGGATGAAGAATGCCTATTATCTACATGATGTTATACAGGTAAATGAACAAGCCATATGGCTTGTTTATCATCTCTCTGCAGATGACTCACAGATCTTCATATTCATCCCTAGTTTTTTTTTTTTTGCCAGAGCTATATTATACATATCCAACTGAATGTCCCATAGGCAACTTAAACTCACCATGTCCAAAAACATCCTCTTATCCCCCAACCTACTACCCATACAGCTACCACCCTAGTTCTTGTTGCCCAGACTATTATAATAGCCTCTTAATTAGTCTCCCTGCCTCAGATTTCTCTCCTGTCCAATCCATCCTCTGTCAGAAGTGATATTTCTAAAGCACAAGCCTGACCATATTAATGCAGTAGCTCTCTTTTGCCCCAGGGTTAAAATACAAACTTCCTTAGTATTTAAAAGCCTTCACATTACTCCTCCAGCTTGCCTTTCCAAACTTATTACATATTACTCCCATTCATTCTATGTTCCTGTCAAACTATATTACTTGCTATTTCTTCTACATAATATTTAATCATCTGTCTCTGTGCCTTTCCATGGGTTAACCCTGGTACCTGGAATGGACTCCCTTCTCACCTTGGTTCAGCCCTAATGCCAGTTTGTACATGAGAGTTTTCCTAATCTGCCTAGCTGCTAGTGCTTCAGCCCACCCTCAAGAAACTACTTCATATTTACTTGCTATATATTTTGTATATACTTGTATGCATACGTGTTTTCATAATAGAAGACAGGCTGCATTTTGTTTTTGTCTTTATTATCATTGTGCTAAGGCACAGTGCTTGCCTAATAATAGGTACTTGTTCCATTTCAGTCATGTCTGACTCTTTATGACCCTGTTTGTTTTTTTTTTTTGTCTAGGCAGTGGGGTTAAGTGACTTGCTCAGGGTAGCAGCTAGTGAGTGTTATGCATCTGAGGCCAGATTTGAACTCAGGTCCTCCTGAATCCAGGGCTGGTGCTCTATCCATGGTGCCACCTAGCCGCCCCTGGGGTTTTCTTGACAAAGATACTGGAGTGGTTTGCCATTTCCTTTTCTAGCTCTGTACAGATGAGGAAACTGAGGCAAACAGGATTAAGTGATTTGCCCAGAGTCACACAGCTAGTAAGTGTCTGAGGCCGGATTTGACCTCAGGTCTTTCTGACTCCAGGTCTGGCAGTCTAAACACTGTGCCACCTAGCTGTCCAACAGCAGCAGCAAAACTTGTATATGTGCAATGAGCCAGAGCCACAACTGAACAGGTGAAGATCATCATAATTGCCTTTGGGAAATTTCAGTTTACTTAATGACCCCAAGCATCTCTCTGAAACAAAGATCTGTATTTCTAACCAATATTTTTTTTTAAAAGGTTGACTTTTTTTTAATATGTTGTCATTATTTCCTAATTGTACCATCCTTCTAGAATTGCTCTAGAAATACAGTTAAACAAAATAGATCAACATGTTGCCCATGTCTGACAACCTATGCAATCTACCACTTCTCTACTGAATAGAGATAGAGGTATATTTCATCATTAGTCCTCTTGGTCAGTGCTTTGATCTAGAAACAGCGAGGTGTGAGGCAGGAGTGTTGAACTTGGAGTTAGGAAGACCTTGTCTGAATCCTTCTCCAGCCTGTAATCATGTGACCATTAACTTTGTCAGCCTCAGTTTCTTCATCTGTAAAATGTGATGATAATAATAGAATTTACCTCACAGGGTTGTTAAGATCAAATGAAATAACATATATAAAGTATATTGCAAACTTTAAAGTGCTCTATAAAATCTAGGTATTTATGTTATTATCCAAATGCAGATATCTTTTACTCTTATTTTTCCTTTATGTTATCATGGCCATTATATCTCTTGTTTTCTTAGTACTACTTACTTTTCTCTTTTTCATTTCATGAAAGTCTTTCCAAGGGTCTCTGAATTCTTCATATTCCTACAGTACTTCTTAACAGCACAGTAGTATTCCATTAATTCATAATTTCTTCAGATGTTCCCCAAATACCTGTATTTTTCTGATGACATTTGAGCAAGGACTCATGGAATACCACAGTCTTTATGAATGATGGAGAGATATATGGTAGCTGTGAACAGGCTATAACATATTAAGGATGAAGACTTGCACAGTATAAATGATATAAAAATGTAATCAGAGAAGTAGGAAAAAAAGATAGACATAATATGTATTAAGAGTGAAATATAATTAATGTATAGCCCATTCTCAAAAATACTACCAATATTGTACCCTGCATTTTTATGTTCATCTGCCAGAAGCAATTTTATTTAACTTAATATTAGCTTAATATGCAAACATTTATAACATAGAGAGATAAATGTTCAAACTGGCGTAGTCCAGTCCCCCATGATCTCCAATATGACTCTCTGACCCCACAGTGATTTTAGTAACATTTTTATGTATCTTGAAGATATATTAAAGTATGATTTGAATTAACATTCTGAAATAGATAAATGATAATCCCATTCCCTCTTGGACAACTCTCTTCCTTCTGGAGTAAGCGGAGAGACCTCCTTGAGATAGATATTATTTTCCTTTCACAGCAGAGAAGGTTGAGTTATGGCCCCATCATTTTACGCATGTGTGGAAGCAGTTACAAGAAAAAATTGGGTGCTATTCAACATTAACCCCTTAAGTAATTTTGTACCTTACTGAAGTGTTCAAAATAAGGTAAGAATTCTTTTATTCAGGTTTCATTTGAGATATGGTGTTTTTGCGATTAGCATTAGAATAATAGGAAAACATTTATTTGAAGGCTGTTGTGTTGGATAGATAAATTGTCAAACAAATGATGGGAACCTGTAGTCTTCAAAAGAAATAAGTAGGCTATCCACAATCATTTGAAAGAATGCTCCAAATCATTAATAATAGAAACACAAATTATTTCTGAGGTTTCACCTCCCACCCATCATATTGGCAAGGATGGCAAAAAGACAAAAATCACAAATGTTGAAGGGATTGTAGAAAGACAAGCATAGTAATGCATTGTTGGTAGAACTTAAATTGGTCCAACCATTCTGGGAAAACAATTTGAAATTGTACTAAAACAAAATCACTAAACTATATATCCTTTAATCCAGCTATGTCTCTATAGAGATTAAAAGCAGAAGGAAAAGCTCTCTCTCTATGAAAGTATTTATAGTAGCATGGTTTTAGAAGCAAAGAAATGGAAGGACAGTGAATGCCCATCAATTGGAAAATGGCTGAAGAAATTATGCCACATGAATATAATAAAATAGAATTGAATTTTCTCTAGTTGTGTTCAGCAGCACATGAGTTGTTTGAATTTTAAATAGAAATGTATATTTGTCTATTGTATAAGCAAAAGTAATGTCTGTGTTTAAAAGGTGCTTTTTGCTAAACCAGTGTTTCTCAAGTTGTTTGTGGTTGACAGATACTGTTTGTATATATTTGTTTGTTTGTTTGTTTGTTTGTTTTTTGTAGTGTTGCCTCCCTTTGGTCTCTGCTATGGATTTTTCTTAAGAATTTCATATTTTTATATATTATATTACATATGATATATTTTATACACCATACTTGTAAATTTATATCACATAACATTATATTTATATATTATATATAATTTATATATTTTGAAGTTCAAGTTACTTATAGCTTATTTTCATAATTGAAAATACACTGCAATATCCAATTGTAGAATGGGAGCTCATTTATAGCAATTTTTTTCCATGTTAGAAAATTTCTCTGAACATCTGTAATCAAAGATCTTAGTATTTCCTATAGCTATAATATCTAATTTTTGTTTGTACAGGAGAGAATCTCAGATTACAACTTGTTATTTTAGAATAATTTATCCTTTATGTTTGAGTTCAAAGAAGTACAGTGATCCTTTTGATTTTCAAAGATAATTGCCAAGTTGATATATAAATGGTATCTAGTAATGTAATAACATTATGGGAAAATTAAAAGTTGCTTCTTAGGAAATCAAGAAAAAAGATATTTGAAAAATATCACCTGGATTTCTGATGCATAACATTTCTACATACATCCATATTTTTATGGATAACAATAATGATTTTTATTATGACTATATTTTTATTTTTTTACAGTGAGTTGGAACAAACTGCTGCCATGGAAGAGAGTGCAGAAATAGAAGAGCACCAGGGAGTACCTGAAGGAGAATCTTTGACTAAGTATAGTGTTTCATCTAAGTATTCTTAATTTGAGCATGCTTTCAACAGTATTGGTCAATTGATTCAGAAATATAGTAGTACAATAGAACTGCTAAAAGATAGTCTTTCAATACTTATTTCACTGTTAGCAATACGTATATATTTCAAAGACTAGGTCTTGTGACCATATTGTAAATCTTAGAATTTCTACTGGAGAACCAGCATTGACTAAGCAACTGATAATCCTTATTTTTTTTTTTTCATTTATTCCTTGTAACATTCACTTTTTAGGCAGATGGCGGCAGATTTATAACTTGGTGATTTTCTATAATTAAAATTTGTGGTCATGTTCAAGACAATTTGTGTTTTCAGAAGGGACTACTGAGTTGTGACATTTAGTATTGTTATTATCAATATTAATGCTATAATAGCATTGTTAATATTAATATTGTTAATACCATCACCAATATTCATAGAAACATAAACTTGTAGAGGAGTAAAAATTGGCCAAAGTATATATCTCCAATTGGACAAACTCTCGTGCTAATTCTGGTATGTTAATTTTCTCTCTTATTGATACCTGTTGTTTTTTATACCACAGATATTTTCTGATAATTTCCTTCTACCTTTTTCCTACCCCCATAGAAACTCTTCTTGTCTTAAAGAAAATCAGTTAAGCAAAACCATCACATCAACTGTGTCAGATGGCATATGCAACACTCACCATCCGTAGGGCTCTTTCTTTCTACTGAGAGGAGGGAGATATGTTTCATGATCTGTCCTCTGGAACTAATAGTGATCGTTGCCTTAAAACCTTAGTTTCTTACATCTATTTTTTCTGACACACTTGTAACTGCATTGAAAACTTTCTGCATCTTTCTGAGAAATGTCTTTTCAATGTTGTTTATTTTGATTTAAACATTTTTCTGATGGCTTTTATTAAATATTCTCTTTTGAATCTACCTTCCCTCATCCTTTTTCATGTTCCTTTTAAATAAGCACAGTGCCTGGCACATAATAGGCACTTAATAAATTCTTGTTGACTTGACTTGATATTCTACTTTTCTTTTAAAAAATGTACATTTATTTAATATTTTATTTCCCTCTCACATGTAAAAACATTTTTAATATTCTTTATAAAAATTTTGAGTTTCAGATTCTTTCCCTTCCTTCCCTGTCATTGAGAAGGCAAGCAGTTTGATGTAGGTTATACATGTGTAGTCATGTAAAACATATTTCCATATTAGTTATGATGTAAAAGAAAACAGGCAAAAAAAAAGCTAAGAAAGTAAAAAAGAGTATGCTCCAGTCTTCATTCAGACTGCATCAGTTCTCTCTCTGATAGCATTTTTCACCATAAATCCTTTGGAATTGTCTTAGATTATAGTATTGTTGAAAATAACTCAGGGGCAGCTAGGTGGAGCTGTGCATTGAGCTCTGGCCTTGCAGTCAAGAGTACCTGAGTTCAAATCCAATCTCAGACACTTGACACTTACTAGCTGTGTGACCTTGGGCAAGTCATGTAACCCCAACTGCCTCACCAAAAGAAAAAAAAATGCAAAAAAAAAAGAAAATAACTAAGAATAACCAAGTCATTCATAGTTAATCATTATATAATGTTGTTACTGTGTTCTCTTGATTCTGCTTATTTCACTTTGCATCAATTCATGTAAGTCTTGACAGGTTTTTCTGAGAGCATTCTGTTCATCATTAAGAATCTTATAGTGCAACAGTATTCCATGACAATCATATAACACAGCTTGTTCATCCATTCCCCCAATTGATGGGCATCACCTCAATTTCCAATTTTCTGTCACCACTAAAACAGCTGCTATAAATTTTTTTGCACATATAGATCCTTTTTTTTTTCTTTTTTAGCTCTTTGAAATACAGACCTCATAGTGGTATGTGCTGGGTCAAAGGGTGTGCAGTTTTATAGCCCTTTGGGCATAGTTCCAAGTTGTTTTCTAGAATAGTTGAATCAATTCACAATTCCACCAGCTCTGAGTACATTAATGTCTCTTTTCTAACATCCCTCCAACATTTGTCATTTTCCTTTTTTGTCATACTAGCCAATCTGACAGGTGTGGGATGGTACCTGTTAACAGGATTTTTACTGAGCCAGTCTCTAACCTGAGAGTGCTTGGAGCCACACAAAGCAGGCTAGAAACAGGAGTGCCAGTAGTCAAGCAGCTTAATTAATCAGTTTCAGAGTGAGGAATGTTCCCTTAGCTCAAGTAAAAGCATAGGTTATATACTTAAATCACAACTGGGGTGGGACAGGGAAAGGTGGATTATAAACAATCATTTAGTGGTTTCACATGAGAAACTTAGAAGTCCCACAATACAATAATAATGGAGTTATATCTTTGGTGGTTGTGACCACTTACCCTAAAATACAGAACCAGAGTTCTGTGATGGGAACAGGTTCTACAATCTTTGATTCACCTCACTTAAGGTCTAGTTATTGTGAGCATTGTCAGAGTTTTGATTAATCAATTTAAGACTGCCAGAGAGGCAGCTCTTGAGAAAACTAAATTATTAGTATATTCATTACACATATCATATTGATTAATATGAAAATTATAAATTTCTTTCTCATACTCAGAGTTGTTTTAATTTCCATTTCTCTAATCAGTAGTGATTTAGAGCATTTTTTCATATTACTATAGATAGCTTTAATCACTTTGTATGTTATCTTCCTGTTCAAATCTTCTGAACATTTATCAATTGGGGAATGGCTCTTATTTTTATAAATTTGACTCAATGAGGCCTTTATCAGAGCAGCTTGCTGTAAAAATTTTTTCACCTTCATGATTACTAGCTGTGTATTTCCCTCCATCTATTTCCCCCCATTTCTTCTACTCTTTTTCCTTTCACCCTGTCCGTCCTCAAATTTTGCTTCTGATTGCCACTTCCCTCAGTCTGCTCTCCTTTCCATCAGCCCCCTCTCATTATCTTATGCCCTTCCCCTCCTACTTTCCTGTAGGTTAAGATAGATATCTATACCCAACTGAATGTGTTATGTTATTCTCTCTTTGAGGCCAATTCTGATAAGGGTGAGGTTCAAGCACCTTCCCTCCCATCTTCCCTATCTTCCTCTCCACTGCAGAAGCTTTTTTGAGCTTTCTCCCTGTGCATTCCTTTTTCTCACCTGTTAATTTTATTTTTTTAGATATCATATTCAGCTCACACTTATGCCTTCTGCCAATACAATACTCCTAACGGCCCTAATAATTAGAAAGTTGTTAGAAGTTATATCATCGTCCCATGTAGGAATGAAAACAGTCTAACCTTACTGAATCCCTTATGCTTTCTATTTCATGTTTACATTTTTTATGCTTCTCTCAAGTCTTGTATTTGAAAATTAGATTTTTTTTATCCAGCCCTGGTCTTTTCATCAGGAATACTTGAAAGTCCTTTATTTCATTAATTGTCCATTTTTACCCCTTGAAGAATTATACTCAGTTTTGCTGGTAGGTTTCTTGGCTGTAATTCTTTGTCCTTTGCCCTCCAAAATAACATAGTCCAAGCCCTCTGATTCTTTAATGTAGAAGCTACTAAATCTTGTGTTATTCTGACTGTGACTCCACAATATTTGAATTGTTTCTTTTTGGCTGCTTGTAGTATTTTCTCTTTGATCTGGGAGGTCTGGAATATGGCTATATTATTCCTGGGAGTTTTTATTTTGGGATCTCTTTCAAGAGGTGATTGGTGGATTCTTTCAATTTCTGTTTTACCCTCTGGTTCTAGAATCTCAGGGTAGTCCTTGATAATTTCTTGAAAGATGATATCTAGGCTTTTTTTGATCATGACTTTCAGGTAGTGCAATAATTTTAAAATTATCTCTCCTGGATCAGTTTTCCATTTCAGTTGTTTTTTCCAATGAGACATTTCCCATTGTCTTCTATTTTTTTCAGTCTTTTAATTTTGTTGTATTTGTTTCTTGATGTCTCATGAAGTCCTTAACTTCCACTTGTCCAATTCTAATTTTTAAGGAATTATTTTCTTCAGTGAGCTTTTGTACCCCCTCTTCTATTTGGCCAGTTCTACTTTTCTTGTAATTAATTAATTAATTTTTAGTTGTCAATATTCACTTCCACAAGATTTTGAATTCCACATTTTCTCATCTCTCCCCTCCCCCCACCCCAAGACAGCATGCATTCTGAATACCCCTTCCACCAATCTGCCCTCCCTTCTGTCACCCCCCCCTTCTCTTATCCCCTTCCCTTTCTATTTTCCTGTAGGTCAGGATAGATTTCTATATCCCATTGCCTGTATATCTTATTTCCCAGTCACATGTAAAAATGATTTTTAATATTCATTTTTAAAACTTTGAGTTCCAAATTCTCTCCCTTCCTTCATCCCTACCCACCCTCATTGAGAAGGCAGGCAATTCAATTTAGGTTATACATGTGTAGTCATGTAAAACACTTCTATAATAGTCATGTTGTGAAAGACTAACTATATTTCTCTCCATCCTATCCTTTCCCGTTTATTCTCTTCTCTTCTTTGACCCTGTCCCTCCTCAAAAGTGTTTGCTTGTGATTAACTTCTCTCCCAATCTGCTCTCCCCTCTATCAGCCCCCCCCATCTTATCCCTTTCCCCCTTATTTTCCTGTAGGGTAAGAAAGATTTCCATACCTAATTGAGCATGTATGTTCTTCCCTCCTTAAGCCAAATCCAATGAGAGTAAGACTCACTCATTCCCTCTCACCCTTGTGATTTCTCTTTCCTGTTCACCTTTTCATGCTTCTATTCAGCTCTGGTCTTTTCATCAAGAATGCTTGAAAATCCTCTATTTCACTGAATGTCCATTTTCCCCCCAAAGGATTATATTCAGTTATGCTGGGTAGGTGATTCTTGGTTGTAATCCTATCTCCTTTGCCCTCCAGAATATTATATTCCATGTCCTGCAGTCCCTTAATGTAGAAGCTGCTAAATCTTGTGTTATCCTGATTGTGTTTCCACAATACTTAAATTGTTTCTTTCTGGCTACTTGCAGTATTTTCCCCTTGACC